TTATTGAAGATCTCGAACACCTGCCCTGCTCTTCCCCACCTCCGTCCTCTTCCCCTGCTCCTCCCTTCTCTCCCAGCCCCACGGTCCCCACCCAGCCCCAAACTATGGCCCTTTCTCCTTACTTTTCCACATAAGCGTTCCTGGTGGTTCCCAGAGAGTAGATACTGCACAGCGTTCGGTAGCAAGAGACCTGGACATCGTCCACTGAGGGAGACAGGGAGAGCGGGGGTCTGGGCCGCGCCCCCAGACCAGTGCTCTCCCACCACCCCCCTTGTCTCCAAATAGGCCCGTGCAGCGGGTAAGGGCAGGGGCTGTAGGGCCAGCCTGCTATGTACTAGATTTGTGACTTGAGTAAGTACCAACTCTCTCTTAGCCTCAGTTTCCCTCTCTGTAAAAGGGGGTAATTATAGTATCTTCCTCACGGGCGTGGCTGTGAGGATCAAATGACTTAGCATCTGGAAAGCAGAACAGGGCACACAGCAGGCGCTCAGTGCCTGGTTGTTTTTTTCTTGCACAGGAGTTGTGGATCTCTCTCTGATGAAAGCCATGGGTGCTCGCTCCAGAGAAATGCAAACAAACCGCCATCCCGACTATTGATACAATCTCGGGTTATCCACATCGCTCCCAGAAGGTCAAGCTAAGAGCCTCGTCAACTTTACCAATGTCACGAGGCAAAAAGAGGCCCTGGGAAGTTCTAGATAAAAGACACTACAGAGACCAAATGCCATGGGAGAAACTTGACTGGATTCAGAAGTTTTTAAAAAATCAAAGACATTTTGTGGGCAACGAGGGAAATTTCAGTATGGGCAGGTTAGGTGTGGTAATGATTTTGTGGTTCCATGAGAGAAGGTTCTTATTCTAGGGGACACAGGTGCACCACTGAGGGATAGGTACCCCCGTGCCTGCAACTTACACTCAAAAGCTCAACAAAAAAGCACGTAAATACTTTCACCTGTAAAGTAAAGGTGAAGCAAATGGGGCAAAATTGTTAAAAGTTCTCGTCTTTTGACTTTTCAAAATAAAAGGTTGGACAGGGAAGAACCTTATTCAAGTGCTACTTTCTTACTTTTATCAAAAGATTCTAATTTCAAATAAACAGCGAGCTCAGACCCAGTTCCAAGTTCTACTCTCGCTCAGTCCCCGCAGCCCATCAGCCCGACGGCCCAGCCTGGACACCTGCCCCTGGGTGTCCTCAACTCACCTCGGCATCTCCCCCCAACTTGCTACTTCCGCTGTCTGTCTCATGGAGACCACACTGTCCCCAGGCCCCCAGGCCTCACTCTGGACCCCTCCCTTCCACAGCCCATCTTCTGGGCCTCCTGCCCCTCCCTGGGCTCCACCTGGGTCCAGGCCACACCTTAGAAGGCTCCTAGGGGACCTGTCCAAACAACAGCATGGCACCCCACCGGGTGTTTCGTGTTTCCTGTGTCTCATCAACAAGGCCCCATACGGTACACGCTCCTGCACTATGTGACAAGATCCCGGCTGCACCACACTGCACGTGTCCTGTGGTAGGAGGAACATGGCAGATGCTACTAGTTGCCTCCAAGATCTGCTCTTACCTTCTCCCTGTTCTTTCCTTCTTTCTAGTAATAAACTTCCAATTATTATTATTATTATTATTATTTTTTGAGATAGAGTCTTGCTCTGTCACCTGGGCTAGAGTGCC